AAATAAAAAAAAAATAAAAAAATTACAAAATCCCTATAAAGATCAAGGATTCAAACATCATTAGCTTAAATTCCACACAACAATAACCTCTCCAGAAAAGGGCAAAATGAAGAAAAGCACAAAATGAAGAAAAGCACAAAATGATAATAGTGGGTAGAATAGGTAGAATCTTCACATTCTTTACAATTCCCAAATTTATTACATCTTCCCAAAAGCTCCCACCTTTTAACTTACAGCCAATTTTTTTTTCAAACACCAATTTTAATTCAGCTATATGTGCAAGAACCCTTGTTGAATTTGATGGGCTTGTTGCTACCCGAGTCCATTACTAACGGGCATGAAACTCTTTTGCGATGCTTTGTCCTAACGAGCTTACCGACAACATCTCCTCTTGATGTGATTTGAAACTCCAATGTCAATGGAACCTTAACAGCATTGTTTGTGGTGACTAGACTTTCTCCGGCACCGTACAAAGGGACCTTTGCTCCTTCTATGTGCACCAACATGATTTTTTGACTTTTTCGGTGTTGATAGTATTTTCTTAGCTGCACAAAAAGCGTGTGAGAAAATCATTACATGTTACTGAAGTCTCGAAAGAAAATTTGAAGGAACAAAAGCATAGGATATGTTTGGTAAACATTAGCTTATAGTTTTTAAGTGAATTTTGAACTTACAGCTGATTATGACTTAAGGCTGAAAAATCTAGCTTATATGGGTAAAATTAGCTGATTAGCTAGCTGAAATAAAAAGTTTAACGGGCTTAATTGAAAAGCTACCCAAGGAAGTTATGAGCTAACTTATAAACTAACCAGATAAACTATAAGCTAACTTATAGTGTATATCAATCACACTCATAGAAGCATGGAACAGCCTCCTTTTCGGATAAACTTCTTCGCAATTACAAATTCACGGTGATCTTATATACGAATCCTAAATTATCACGTTTCTTAATATTGTTCCCTTCAAAATCACATTTTGCAAAAGGAACGTGCAATTAAAAGGAATTTGTGGATAAAAGCACCGCTTCTCTTCCCAATTAAACAGAACCCGAAATTGAATACTCCACCTGAAAATGTCACATATGCAATCTAACATGAAAGTACTCGACTGAACAATCACTTTTCAACTTCGACATTTTTTCCAATACATTAATATAAAAATGGGGAAAAAGCTTATGAAAGATCTAATTTGCAAAGACAAAAAACAGCAAAACAAGAAGGTCCCATAGATATGAGATATCTACCTGTCCGGTTGCAACAACTACATCCGAATAGACGAGATTGACAGGTGTCGCGCTCACATGAATCCCGTAGAATGTGGCTGGATTGTACACACTAATCTTCAGAGAACTGTTCACGGTAAGCATTCTTGTCTGGACCCCACTGAAGTCTGAACCCGAACCAATGTACATATTGTTGACAGTCAAACTCTGCAGGGAGAAAGTTAAACACTGCTGAGCTTGAAGGAAAAGCTATTATTCCAAAAACTTCGAAAGATAAATTATCTAATGGAAAAATAAAAGCAAGACACATAAGTTCTAAGAGGAGGCAAATAGGCAATATCAGCACTTCATGAATGCACAAAATAGAGACAAATCTCAAAATTACCTCTGAGATTAAGCCAATCTACAGTAATCATTCAAAAATACAAATTACCTCCGCGCAAGAATTGTAATGTTCTTCTTCTTTGCAACTAAGACAATTAAATTTTTCTGCAGTTAAGACTAAAAACCTCACAGGCTAATATATTGAATTCCCAAATTCACAAATCCTACTTCAAACCAGAAATAGCAGAACAAACACAAGAAAAAACAGAATTAAATCAATAAACAGTATATTTATACCCTAACAGCAACTTCGGGTTTAAAGGGCCTCCCGGCACCCCATATAATCAAACAAAACACCGTGAAAAGCACGAAAAAGCCGCAAATCGCCATTAAAGCCTGGCACCGTCTAGTGTACGCCTTCTCATCAGCAAACTCGTCATATTGACCCTCTTCCACGATCACATTACACTCCGGCCAGCCCTTGTCATTCCTCTTTCCGGCCACTTTCCTGCCGGAAGACGAGCGAAAGATGCCGGAGAAGCGGCTGCCGGAGGAGTTCCTCGAGTGGCGGCCAGACGAGGGATGATAGGGGGACTCTACTGGGCTAGCAAAGTTTGGGGTGGCGTGCATTGATGACTTGTCGCCATCATGAGAGTCGCGAGACGGGCTCTGAACATAGTACATGGCCCGTTTAGGGGACCTCGAGGGTGACGAGGCGGCCAGGCTGGCAATGTCGGATTCGGATTTCGGATGCTGCATTTTTTTTTTTGGGGGTCTTTTTCTTTCTTCTTTTCAAGAATTTACTGGAATAGCTCTTGAGATTTTATACTGATTTCACATATTTCATGTTCATGGAGTCCCCTGCTGAAGCAAAGCAATGTAAGTATAAAGACAGGATTTTTTTACTATAATTTTTATTTTTTATTTTTTAACAATTAAATGAAATGGGCACTTTTGAATTTCACATATTTCATGTTCATGGAATTCCCTGCTCAAGCAAAGCAATGTAAAGCATAAAGACAGGATTTTTAATTTTAATTTTTTTTTTTTTAAAACATAGATGAATTGGGCACTTTTCTTGGGTGAATTGAAAAATAGTGAGCAAAAGTTAACAGATCATGCAATCAAACCAAAGCAAAATTCATTAAATCGAACTATCAACTTGAACCGAACTCCTTCAAGAAAAATGCCCAAGAAGCAAAATTTTAACAGCCCACGAGTGTGGGTGTGTGTGTATGTTTAGTGTAAAAGCTGACATTAAGAACAAAAATCAGTGACTGGGAGAAAAGAAAAAAAAAAAAGAACAAATAATTGAACAGAAACACAGGAAAATGGTGACCGGAAAACATACCAGTGAGGCGTCCAGTGCGTGTTCTGTGTGTGTAGAATCGTACATACTGACAACTGACACGAAAGATAATTAAATTTTTTATTTTTTATTTTGTTTAACAAAAAAAGTCTTTTGGGGATGAGAATGGCAACTGGCAAATATAATCTGTGTGGGGAAGAAGAGCGAGGAAGAACCACAATCGACAAATGGTTTCTGGTAACCGAGGCTAATGCCTTACCTGGCTCCAAGCCTGCGCGTGAAGGTTTGGTTCGGGTTTGGGAAGGTGGTGTCGGCAGCCAGCCACTGTTACAGATTTTATTGTTTTGGGTGCCTTAAATTAAAATCCAGTGTGTACCCGTGCCATGCACGAGAACAATATTAAATTAACAATATTATAAATAGACATTGAGTTTGAGTCACTCAATGACGGAAGTGAAAACTACTATTGATCCTATTTAAAAAGAGGAAGAAAAAAAATAATTATAAATTAAAGAGGAGGATAAATAATACTTAATAATTATAAATTAAATATTCGGGATCAAACAATGTAAAATTATTTTGTATAAGGGAATATAAAAAAATTTGATTACACACCATTTCAAAATTATTATTATACTTTTTTGTATGGTTAACTTATAATATTTATAAAAATATTAGTAATTAGACCGAAGAAAATTAGCTTCTTAAAGTAGATAATGGATTTCTAGTAGTAATTATGAATTGATTTCTATTTTATTTTATTTTTTCAGATCTGTATAGATAAGGATGAGATTTTTTAAACACTATGCAATGAGATTTTGTAACTCGAGTAGATTTATGCTAAAAATAGGAAAAAAAAATAAATATTTATTGTCAAACAACGGTTTTGATAAACTAAAAAAAGGAAAAAGAGAAATAAATATTTACACAATTAATGAACCGACTTTTTTGCCTATTCAAATTTGTCCAACAATTACTATATAAAAAAGAAAGATAGAGAAAGTAACCTCTAATTTTTAGAGTCACAAAAGAGCCAATTCAAATCAAGGATCGACGAAGTTGAGTTGATTTAGGCACAATAGTATAGAATATATTTAATAATTTTGGCGGGAAAAAGTTTCTAAATTTGTAAAAAGGTTATTTTTTTATATAATGATAGATGACAAATGCTTGTGACTAACCGTTAAACACAATTTTTATTTTTAAAATGTATTTATCATTATATATTAAATATAAATGTTATTGTATTCTAAATTATAAAATTTGAGTATTAAATTGCATAAATTTTTTGAAATAGTATGAGTGGTTAATTGTTTTAATCAATTTTAGTTTGGATCTGATCATAGTTATACTAAACATGTTTGGTGAACTAGCTAAAAAATTAGTTGATAGATTATAAGTAAAATTTATATGGCTTATGAATAATATTTCTAATTGATATATTAAAAGTGTTTGGTAAAATTGTCTGATAAATTAATTGAAATAAAAACTTCAACTGACTTTTTGAAAAATTATGAAACTTATGAGATAAATCCAACTAAAAAAACTTGCCATTCAAAGTCAAACGTATTTGAGTATATGAAACAACTATATTAGTTATAAGTTAGTTTATGATGCTTACCGTACACTCTAAATTTTAGTCTAGGTGTTCGGTAATGATCTTTTATTGACAATATAATTTGATTTTTAATTATCATTGAAGTTTAACTAATTCATTTTTTAATTCTGGTTCGTTGAATTTCTAATGATCACTAAATTCGCTGAACCACGTAAGCATGTCTAGATAAATTCCTAGACAAATTATTTGAACCTTCTTGTGAAATGTTGATTTTCTAGAGCAGGCTGAAGTAAAAGCCAAAAAAAAAGAAAATAACAACAATCTTGCACAATAAAAATAAAATACTACTTCTGGGCCCAACAATACAAACCCAAATAACTCAACTACGCAACCCTAATCTCACCTCACGTTATCCATTTCCTTCTCCACCTTGTCCTCACCGGCGATTCCATCGTCCTCGCCTTCTCCCGTCCCTGAATTTCTGTCCATTGCCTGAAAAATCCCAACTTTCGATTAAAGTTCTGTCTTTTCCGATGCCTTCTCCTTTGTTGAGCTCTTGTCCGTAACACGTGCTAGGGAGCTCGCGGCGCAAGATCGGGCACGAGCTGTGCAGATCTAGCTACGTGAGGCAGAAGTTGAGTAATTTTGCACAAATTGTTCCTACGCGCCGTGCACAACTCATCACCGGGAACCCTTTAACGATCTCTCAGAGCGGTCTCGCCTCAGACGAACGTACGTCTGTCCTGACCCCATACCTAAATTTTCAGGTGCATAGGTAAATTTTTTCCCTCAACTCTTCATTTTGCAAATGATGATTTTAATTGTGAAAAAACTAACTTTTTTTTTTTTTCGAAAAACGAAAAGTTAGGAGACGTTGAAGTTCAGGGCTGAATTGTTGAAGAGGCTTTCGAGGGAGAAAGATAAATTTGGGGAAGCAAATAAATAAGCAATAATAAAAGGCAAGACCACCACTCGCCCTGCCTCGTCACCCGCCAACTGCTTAACCTGCATTCGTGAAGAGCAGGTGGGAGTCAGTTAAATAACATACTCACAGTATGCATATGAACAACATCAGGATGGTATAGTCGCAACATGAACATAAACAATAACATCATGTTACATCTTTAGTCTCATAAATGACTCTAGTCTCGTAAAAGACTCACTCATGTGCACATTTACGCTCATCAAAGCTCAGTCATGCCATATCAATGAAACATGGGAGTACGTGATGTGGCACGGCTTTCCATATGAGATTTACCTCGTAAGGGTAATCGTATTTCATTTACGGGACAACTATACTGATGGTCATCAAGCTCACATCGATAGGCTACATGCTTACATGCATATATATGTCATACTGGTTTAACACATATGCATATATATTTTAGAATAACTAACTCATCTGGTAATTCGGATTCGGATTGATGACAGCAAATTTCAGAAAAGATGTGGATGGAGGCTTGACTTCTCAATCACCTACATTATGTCAAGATTCTACAATCAATATCTTGACTTAAACAGAAAACACAAATCAAACTTAGTCGAACTTTTTGACTTAAACGGAAAACACAAATCAGACTTAGTCGAATGTGTTTTCCGTTTAAGTCAAGAAATTCATTGTAGGATTTTCTGAAATTTGTTGTCATCAATCTGAATTACCAGGTGGGTTAGTTATTCTAAAATACCTATGCTATGCATATGTGTTGTTTTATATGTGTTAAACCAGTATGATCTATGTAAGCATGTAGCCTATTGATGTGAGCTTGATGGTCATCGGTACGGTTGTCTCCGTAGATGGAATACGGTTATCCTTACGAGGTAAATCTCATTAAGATCTATGAGAAGGCCGTGTCATTGATGTGGCACGCACTCCATGTTTCATTGATATGGCATGACTGAGTGTAGATGTGCACATGAGTGAGTCTTTGATGAGACTATAGTCATTGATGTGACATGATGTTATTGTTTATGTTTATGCTGCGACCATACCATCCTAATATATTACTGATGTTGTTCATATGTATAGTGTGAGTACGATATTTAACTGTCCTCACTCCCACCTGCTCTTCACGGATGCAGGTTAAGCAGTTGGCGGGTGCCGAGACAAGGCGAGTTGTAGTCTTGCCTTTTATTATTGTTTATTTATTTGGTTCCGCTCATTTCATGAACTTATGTTGAATTCGGATATTTTGATTATGTCGTTTGAATTGTGAAATCCTCTTTTATGATTTGGAACTCATTGAATGTCAGTGAAGTTTTATGATTTAATAATCGTGTATGTACTGTCTTTATCTTTATCTGATGTATTTGCATTTTCGGATAAAAACTTTTGGTAAAATAAGTAGCGCCCACTAAATTTTAATTAAATTGAGATTTGCGAAATTTATAGTGATTTTTATTAAATAAATTTGATAAATCTTTCAAAATAAAGTGGGGCGTTACAGTGTAGAGGTAAATTTTTGTTATGCTTTTTTTAATCAGTTGTGCTTCATGTGATTTTTGGATTGTGGTTTTTTTATGTCTGGTTATTTTGCTTCCTGGTGTTCTTGAGATGAACTTTTTGATGTACCTTGTTTTTGCCTTTTTTTTTCCCAAGAAAAATTACAAAGACGTTTTTTTAAATTCCAACTATCCTTTTTTCCCTTCAATTGCAATCCCGCTGATGTCTAGGCGTCACCTTCTAGCTGTTGGTGATTGAGAATCTGGGCTTATGTTTTTTTAGCCTTCAGTGTTCTGGTGCCTATCCAGTTGTGTGTGTGCGCCTTCTTGTCCACCTAATTTCCAGGTTCTCAATTGGGCCTATTCGGAGTTGGTGTTGTAGTAGGGTTTTCATGTGTTTTCAGTTTTTCGTTGCCGCTGTTCAGGTGCTAAGCTAAACCTTAGAAATTTATTTAACCAACGTCTTTGTGTGTGTGTGTGTGTTTTTCTTTTCTGCCTCTTCGGCGGTGGTGGTCGTGAGAAAACTATTGTGTGGCCCTCATTGTTTGTGTAGGTTAGGTTTTCTTTTGTGATATGCTAATTGATGTGATTGCCGCATTTTGTGCATTCCTGTGTGGTAATTTGTATGACCGATGCATTCTTGTTTTCTTCTTTTTTTCTGAATTTTGGGAGCATCTTTTGACCCTTTTTTACACTTTTTTTTTACAACCTACGTGTGTGCCTCTCTTTTTAATAGGCGATTTATTGTATTTAACTGTTACTATGTTACTAGGTTATGGTGTACATATTCATCCTTGCCAATCACAGATTTCAAGTTCCATAAATATGTCAAACTCATTTTGAAACCTTCATCACGGTCTATTAAGCCAAAAAAATAAGGCCCAACCATCAGATTTGAACGATGAAAATTAAGGCTCAAAAAACGATACTCACGGGACAGCCCAACAAAAAGCATCAAGTACTCTTCCCATAATTGCTTCATTCATATCGCTTATCCTGTGAGAAACCTTATTTTATGATTGAATGTGTGAATTTTCATATTAGTTAAGAGATTCTATTTTTTCTTAGTTAGTCATGGATAAAAAGTTCAAGTATGATGTGATTAGAATTTGAAAACCCCAAGTGATAGAACACGTAAAATGTGCAGATCGAGATAGTGATGATGATATTGTCGCTGAAGGTGCCTCAATTGTTCATGGAGAACCTCCCCAAAGATGAAAGTGGGCCTCCTAAAGTAGATACTAAAGTAGAAGTTCTCCATGAGAATGTGACTAAGCAAATTATCAAGGAAGGCCATGGTCAGAAGCCATCAAAATATTCTACTTGCTTCTGTAAGTCCGTTGAGAAAACTTTTAATAGACTCCTTGAACATCTTCTGACATTTCAACTCAAGCTATCAAATAAGTTATAGAATTATGTGAGTTTTGATAGAAAAAGCATGCCCGTGAAGTCAATTGTCAATTGGCCTCCTCATCTAGTGCAACAGACTAGAATCGCATCTTCAGAAAGATTTAGGTCGAAATTATCCTTATTGTGCTCTCCTGTGAATCTTCCACAGGTAGTAATAATCAATTTGAAAAACTAAGGGCATGCTTGTTTATGAAATAATTTGCTCACATTTATTTCATACTCAAAATCTAACTCAACTTTAACTTAACCCCACTATCCTTAATATTATTTATATAATTAAATATTATAAACCCATCATTCTTATATATCACATCAACTTTAATTTACTATTCACCCACTCACATAATTTTAACTACCTATCATTTCCAATCATTTATCTCATACTTTTACATCAAATCAATAATAATCATTTTATTTTAAATATTATTTTAATACATTATTAAAATCTCACTGACAACTAACCATACCATCTTTTTCAAATTTAACTCTAGTTAATCAAAATAACTCATTTTGAGCAAATTATTTCATAAACAAGCATGCCCTAATCCATTCCACTCTTATTTTGTCCTTTCTGGAAGTGCATTACAGGGCATGGACTGAAAGCACCCAACACAAGTTTGAAGATACATGGCGTGAACAACAACTGCTTGAGCTTATCCTAGGAAAAGGTTTGCTCAAGAATTTTCCAAACACTTGCCATCTCTTTTCTGAGCTCCTAAAGGCTAAAACTCATTGTCAGTTGTTGCAAAACTTACTATGATTCTCTAACTACATGTGACATGATCCATTCTTATTGGGAAGAATAAAAAAAATTTCAGCAAAAAGTTGATCCTTTATTATTAGCTTTCATTTTCAAGCATCGACTTTTTTGTTGTTTGAGTTTGATAAATTGTCCTCGACTGCAGAGAAAAAAGAAATGACTGGGATGGCAATTGGCATTTCCTGTATGAAATCTGGTGAACGTGCCTTGCTGCATGTTGGCTGGGAACTAGGCTATGGAAAAGAAGGAAGCTTCTCTTTTCCAAATGTGCCTCCAATGGCGGACATCGTGTATGAAGTTGAATTGATTGGTTTTGATGAGACCAAAGAAGTGCGTATTCTCTACTTACATTCCCGAACACCTTCTTACATGCTCAGACATTTTTTTTTTTTTTTTTTTTTTTTTTTGTGGATTATATTGATAAAAAAAATTAACAGTTTTGGTGATTGAATTTTTGTGAAAAGGGGAAAGCACGAGGTGACATGACGGTGGAGGAAAGAATTGGTGCAGCTGATAGAAGAAAGATGGACGGCAATGCATTGTTCAATGAGGATAAATTGGAGGAGGCAATGCAACAATATGAAATGGTAAAGAAAGCACTCTTATCTTTTGTCTACCCATTTGGCATGTATAAGGGGTGACATGTCTTGTAAATCTGCAAACTGCAATCATTACAAAGTTTTCAGTTCTTCCTTGGATCAAGCAAAATAAATTAGGCATTTAAATGAGAACATAACATGCAAATGGTTGAGGAACTGGGAAGTTTGCATAAGCAAATTTCTTCATCATGTGAAAAATGTTGCAAAGAATAACCGAAAAATGCTTGGTTATATATTACTGCTAAAAGATTAAATATCCTAAGCCGTCTGCTTATTTAATCCATTATTTTTATTTCTTGTTCTCGATTCTATGACTTATTACTAGATATTGTTTGTAATGCCATATTCAGCTGCCACTTTAATGTTTATAATCAAATGTAAAATGTGATTAATTGCATTCTTGGTAATGGCTCTTCGATTCGTTCTTCCAGGCAATTATGTGTTGCATGACTTCACTACAAATTTTACAATTAAAATAGCAAATCTTAAATGTTACGTGACTCGATCAGGGAGAAGTTTACGGATAGATATGAATGAGCAAAACATAATTCATCATCGAAACCTTCTAACACCAAACTTCAAATTATTGGAAGGATATACAAGAGAAGAAAATGAAAAAAAGATTTAATAAATGGAAAATAAAATAAAATAAAGGAACGTGATAATATCCAATCAATCATCATGGTTGACCAATCCACGCACAATAAAGCACAGACAATCTTCTGTGACATGTAAACATACACACCAAATGATAAGCTCATTAGGAGGGGATTGTTTATAAATTCATCTAAAAATTATTTGGTTTTTTTTAACTATAGTTACTTTTGATAAAAGTTGGTATAGTTAGTTGAAAGTGGATATATTAAATAATATTTAAAATAAAATAATTAAAGTTGATATGATGTAAAAGTGAAAGAAAAATGATTGGAAGTGGTGGTTAGTTAAAATTATGTGAGAAGATGAATAGTGTATTAAAGTTGATGTGATGTGTAAGAATAATTGGTTGTTATTATTTAATTATATTGATAATATTGGAAAAAGTAGAGTTGGGTTAAAGTTGAGTTAAATTTGAGTTTTGATTGGGTCTTTTTGAGGTGAATTGATAAACAATTTAGTGTTATGTCTTTCCAATCTCCCTTGTCTTTTGGACTCAAATTATGCTTTATTCCCTTCACAATTTCCTCCATACCACCCAAAAGCTTCTGCAATATCATTCCCTTCACTTCCTTGATCTCCCTATTTGTTTTTACATTAACCTGGTCGTTGGGATCGCGATTTAGGCCTGAAATTGCTTTCAACTTTCTTGAAGATCTTTTGTTGTCAATGATAGAAATTGGTTTGTGTTTAAAGGTGCATAAAGGGCCATTTGATAAGGCAGCCATGGAAAAATAACAGCTGTATAACATGAGAATTATGTATGTGATTTGAAGATTTCAGCTTTGAGGAAGACGAGGAATGACATATTTCTTCTTCTTCTTCTTCTTCCCCCCCTTTTTTTTTTCTTTCTCTTGGTGAAAATGATTGGAACTGTACAATGGTAGCGGGAAGTATAAGAAAATATCTCAGGTTCAAGAATTTGTTAGCATAAAAGGTATGGATAAGGTAGAGGAGTGTGTGTGTGTGTGTATGGGCCTCCTTGCACTAAAAACAGAGAATGCAATTAACCATTACCTCACGAGACTGTAGCATTACCTTGAATATTGATAGTATTAGTCATCAATCAAAGGAGAAAATGTATGTTTGTAGCAATAATGTGGGTAATAAACTAATAATTTCCTTGGATTTGGATATTAACATACTGGACCATTTCAAATTATGACCAACTCGTATTCATTTATACATTTTCTTCAATTTTGCATATTCCTACATATTTCCATTTCAAATTATGACCAACTCGTATTCATTTATATTTTATACATTTTCTTCAATTTTGCATATTCCTACATCTTTCACTAAAATGGCTGTCAATCAATTTGGCGTGTGGAAAAGGGCATACTTACTTTTTTTTTTTTACAAAACTAATAGGAAAGACTAATTAGACAATAGACATGTTCACGGGCCGAATCCACTCGGAATTGGCCCAGGCCTGTTGACAACGGGCCTTGAATCGGTCATGCTTTTACTCGGGCCAGTTCAGGTTTATAATTTTCACTAATTGAACCGCCGATTCTAGTTCTGATTTGGATCCGGAACCGACTGTTCGACGACTTTTTTTTTTGTTGTTTTATTTTTTTATGAATTTTTATAATAACTAGTATTTGATCCTGTGCGCATGCACAAAGGGAAACAAAATTTTATATATTATATGTATATATATGATATTTAAAAAGTTAAATTAGATAAAGTGTGTATTACATTTTAAATTAGATGTTTAATATAAATATAAATTATTTAACTTTCATATAAATCATCTTTTTTGTTTTGTTTTTGTTATTGTATAATTATAATACAAAATAGGAATATTAGTAAAAAATAATTTAATATTATATATTCAGAAATTTAAAATCTTGTAAAGTTTAACAGAATAAAAAGTTAATAATAATAAGATTTTACTTGTGTGAGTGTCATTTGAATTGTATTCATAAATTTTTTTATTAAATGCTGAACATATTTTTATTAAATGAATACCTATTTTAATTAAATGAACTGATATTATTATTAATTATGACTGAATAAAATTTATTGAAACTTGCTAGCAATTATATATATATATATATATATATATATATATATATAGATTTTTTTTTCTTGGTTTGGTCTGGAACCGGCAGTCCAGTTCTGAACTGAAACAACCGGTAGCCAATATATATTATAGGGCCAGTTGAGGGCCCCAAAAAATGGAGTCTGGAACTGGCGTTTTGGACCCGGAACAGAAATATGGCTAAAACTACAAACGATCATATTTTTTTTTAATATATATAGGTGAGCAGTAATGCTAAGGAGTCAATTGTTGTCTCCGTTATGGAGCCAACAACCAATGGGACAGCTTCATGTGGGGCTATCCCACATGGAGCATGTGAGACAGCCCCACATGAAGCTGTCCCATTAGTTGTTGGCTCCATAACAGAACTAACAATTGTCTCTTTAATTTAACATTATTGATATAAGTGAGATCATATTAAGCAGCCAAATTGAGCCAAATTCAACGAATCACTCATTACATAAACAGAATCAGCCAAATACACTGTCAGATATTTTGGATATCAAATTCCAGCCAAAATTTTAAAGCAAAATAAAAAAGAAAGCCAAGAATTAATTTAGGCCTCATCAACTCTATCCTTAACATCAACTTCATCAACGTGGCAAGAGAGTGCCCAACATTGAATAACGTTAAAAGGTCCTTAAATGAGGAGAAAATAGGGACAAAAAAATATAAAAAGAAAATGAGAAAAAGGGCAAAAAGAAGTTGGTCTATGTGCCAGCCCATCAATATCCACGTCATCTGAGTCTTCCCTTTCGGCCATGGCCATGGCCATGGAAGCAAACTAGAAATAGAAAACCCTATGTACACACATATGCTTTTATAAGGAACTGAGCAAAGATGGCGATTGAGCTGCATTAATCTCTCTTAAGGTCATTTTCTTTTCAAAGTCTTGAATTTCAAAACAGCCATTTTTCTACTTCTTTACCTTTAGCGAGAGAGAGGAGAAAATCCATTTGTGGGCTCTCCAGATTTTCAGCTCTGATATTTAAAAAAGAGAGT